ATGGCGCCACTGTCTCAGGGCTGTCTTGTGGCTGCCGATGTGTTTGCCCTCCTTCGACAAAGCGACGTCGGAAATCGCGGACCTTCGACTTTGGTCGAAATCCAACCATCTTAACTATACAAATACAGAGTATAAGGGAGGAAGGAGGCTAAGTCAATTTGGTAAATTCGTAAACACAACCAAAAAAAACTGCAAAAGATACATTATCAGACGGAAGTCGAGCAAGGATTCCGGGAATGAAAACACGCTCATACAACTCCGAGTTACTACGGATAATCAGTGCTCGAGTCCGGTATTTACTCATTTTTTCCCATTGCTGGTGACTAAGGCAAAAATTGGTCCAGTAGGGCGCCAATGCGTTTGCCACTAATTGGAAAAACATTGTGGTCTGATGCATTATTAGTGAACATAGAAACTCAAGAGGGCGATACAGTGGGACCTCGGCTAACAAATTTAATCCATTCCAGCATGGATCTCGTCATCTGAAACACTTGTCTTGCGAAACTGTATCAGTTCACTGGTTGACTGCAGGCGACCAAGGACCCACGTCCTGGGGGCAAGACTCAACGGCAGACATAGGCAGACACAGGCACACGCATGCACTGACAACTCGTTAACTGAGTGGAAGCTCGTCAATCGAAACAAATTTATTGCGAGTGGCTCGTTCGTTTGCTGAAATGTTCGTAGATGGAACTGCCCGTCACCTGAGGCTCCACAGTTTAGAGAAAATGCTTTGCCACGGTCACAACGGGCTGTCCATCCTCGTGGGTCTGTGGTGACTAGCTCGCCTCGAAGCGAACTTTGCCAAAGCTCACTATCTCTGTTCTCGATTTCTGGGAACAGACAATCACAGATGCCGCAAAGCTGGCCGCTGGCCCGGCAACGAATAACACGCCTGCACGCGTAAGCCGACACAGTCTGTCTGGCCAAAAACCTTCAAGGCCGACCCAGAAAATGACTGCTCACGCTGGCCGCTGGGATACCTGCGGCCCAGCCGGCACTTAGGTCCCGGTTGTCCTCTTGGCTGGTCGTGCGCTCCGAAGTCAAACTTCTTCCTGCTTATTATCCGTTCCTCTGCATACAGAATAGACTATTTCTACTATTCTGGCCTCCACCGACTTCTCATCTCCTGAGGAACCATGATATGAAGATCGCAGTTGCTAGGATTTAACTCGCTTAACCCCTTGCGATAGGTTTACAGTGCCGTTTATTTTCAAAAATGATACGGATCTCGGGGTGATAGCGTTTCAGCGGTGCTATTAAGATGTTGTATTTTCTACCTAGGGCTGTGACACATATCAGCTCGTGCTGGTAGTTGTCCCTGTCCACATTTTACTTCTGCCAGTTACGTGTACGTGGTGGGCGGCTGAGGATGGGGGATATAAACAAACCAACATTTTGTCATTGGAAGATTGGTTCTCTAGTGACAATGAGACCACACTGCCCCAGAGCGCACATCCACTGGGATTGCGGCGCTTTAAAAACTTGAAGGCAGCAACTTTGGGGAGTAGGATACGACTTCAACTTATTTCTGTTCGATGCCTGATAGTTGATCAGTTATGAGAAAAAATGGACTCAGGAGCTCCCGGCTAATCAAGAATTGGATTACTACATGTGCTATAAGCAAGTTCTCATCCTGTGTGCTGTGTTAGTCCAGAAATTCTACAGAAAATACATTTATTGGACTGTTGCCATTGAAAAATCGACTCTTTGCCACCGTATATTTCACTTAGATACAACACTTTTGTCATAAGTAGTTAAAATTTAAAAATATGACCTAGCGTATTCATTTATCTATTGAATGAAATGTGCAGTGTGTACGATAAAAAGATGTTTCCGGATGGTTGGAATGTAACACCTTTGGGAAGGGCTATGTTCTCTGTGCGACAGCACAATCTAAGCGAAATTTAACTGAGTCAAAGTGCCAGCGTTCAGACCGAGGGGTATACGAATAATTACTCAGTCAAGAAGCTGATTAGGTCTACCATTTTATGCTTCAAATATCTGCTACTTTACCGAAAGATCTGATCAAATAGTCGGAGGAAGTTCCGGGACGAAAGCATCGAGATTCAAGTGCGTGATTTTTGAATTTAATTTTTTCACTTGTTCGCCACTGTTTGAGATAACTGGAGCTACCTATTAGACACTATGCCCAGAAATATAATATGACTCTCGTTGATGAACGCTCACCGACCGCTAACGGAACTCACTTGCCCCGCTCTTCCTTGGGCCTCATTTTGATAATATGATCCAATATAACCTTCAGCCGTCTGAAAATGAAAGGTTTGCCTCCAAATCCCAACGCAAATGTCGTTAACATTAAAATAAACTGACGTGGAAACAAGGGATGGCCAACTAACCCACACAACTTACTTCAAGGTAAAGCACCTATTATCGCTTCAGTGATGATGCGATGGAGCAAAGGACAGTTCCGCTGTCAAAAAATGCTTGCGGCTGCTAAAACTTTCTATACTCCGTCCCAATGACCAGCCCTTCTGAGTAGTTTGAGTTGTATCTGTCTCACACAATACTGTGCACCAAATATATCTGGGAATCATGTTACTTTTTTAAACGAAAGGAAATATGCTAGAATAGCAAGCAACTGATTCGTGGATGTATAATAAGGCTTAAAGTCTTGCGGCGTGACATGAAAGTCGATGAGAAACAAGGCCAGTAAAGTAAAGAAGAATCTACCTTAATAGTATTGTAAGGGGAAGATAACACGAAAATGCATACTCCCTGATGTGATATATTAAAGTGTTTGAGAAGAAGACGACTCGATCGCTGGGACAATACTTTTATTCACCTGAGGTTTGGACATCCGTCGCGGGTTCAGTATCGGAAAAATTAGCAGAAAACGGTAACAGAACTCAATAGCAGAAACCCGTTTCTGCTACCGTTTTCTGCTAAGGTTTCTGATGATGAATCCACGACGGGTGTCGAAACGTTAGGCGAATAAAAGTATTGTTCCAGCGATCGAGTCGTCTTCTTCTCAATTACTTCCTGGGACTCACACGTTTGCTTGTATTGATATTAAAGTATCCCATCCAGTTGCCGCACTCTAACTTTTTTCGTTAGAAAAAGTAGAATTAAATATGCTAGCAGAATAATAGATCGATTGCAAAAATAAGTACAATTATTGCCGTAAAGTCGGTTGACATCGCTGCTCGTATACTGCTTGATTTATGTGCGATTTAAAAAAAAAACAAGGTAGGATGCAAACCTTCGCCGTCTTTCTGTTCAACCATGTCGCCGCCTCTGGTGCAGTAGCCGTTTCTGAGGGGCATATCCGTGGTCATAACCTCCTCGGAAATCATCTGTGGCGATTTAAAGCTCCCTCGAATGCTCAGGTTCGATACCTTCCGAATGACGTTGGAGGTATGGCTCGAGGGAGTGAGAAACCTCTGTAGGCGTTGCATACGGCTCCCACGCTCGAAATCTGGAAATTTTTCTGCAAGTGCTAGCTCACTCTTTATAGTCTGTGAACCATCCTGTTTTTGTTTGGGCGGGCAGAGCGATACAAACACCATTCTTCCCCGTTCACAGATTCGATGAAAGAGGTCGCTGAAGAGACGATAGATCTTGCTCTTATTTTTCTTTCGATACAGACGACCGGAGCCCCACGTCACGAGGACGTAGCAGAGGTACAGGCAGATGAACCCTACAGATAAGTAAAACAAGGAGGCTGCTGTTGGGGAGGCTGCGTTTGTCATTTGATGTGCATGAATCAAAACAGTATGGCCTTATGCAACCAGGACATGAAAGTCATAAAAATTATGTCTTACTCTGGGTTTGAGCACCCATGTGTGAGTTCTGCGCCAACTTCCGGAGTACACGGCATCCTAAGAGATGTTAGAACGCTTCTGCCAATGGGCGAAGGCTCATAAACTCTGCCAGCAAGCCCTCGCCTTTCGGATGTTTAAGGAGATTCAATAGGACATACCCGACGGTAAATATCGGAGTATGTGAAAATTCATATCATATTATGCGCAATTATAAGCTCCCCTACCATAACTGACATTTACAGGCATTTGTAAGTAACTACACTTCAGGACTCTGACGAAGTAATGCTGGGTATAGTAATGCTGTTGGCAACCACAACGCCCCCTAGCACACGATCAGTCACTTGACGCTTCATGGGACCACCGTTTTACGAATATGTGACACTGGCCAAAGCTGGAGGTAGCTTAATTGTGCGACATAGTAGGACTATAAGAACGTTCTCGAGGTTGCCACTGTGCGACAGTTTGAACCCCCAGTCTCCGACAAAAACAGTCACATTTTTGACGCCATTAATTGGCATAAGTTGTAGTACTAATTCAATCGGGCAAGAACGTACAAAATAAGCAATTAGAATATGTAAAGTTCAGCTTATAATTAGAGCCAGTGGGATAGTCCTGAAGGGTGCAGTTAAAGTGCACCGCCAGTCGTAATAACGTAAGCTGATATTTTAGCATTTGCGAAACTTACTGTAGCAACCCCTAGCATCAAATACACATGTAGATAGTGGCAGATACATATACACATCGATTAGATGCAGGACACACTCGCCCGCCCCTGGTGCCTTTGGGGCTCACTCTCGATCCACACCACAAGGCAGTTAATGATATAAGTGGAGGGGCAATACTAAAAAAGACAAGGGAGACTAGGAGGGCCATTTCTGGCTTATAAGCCAGGCACGGACGAGCGTGTTTTGCAACTGATCGATGTGTGCTCCTATCTGCCACAGTATATTCGCGATCAAACACCGGCAAGACAAGGAGCCGGTGGCACAATGGGTAGAGCGTTAGACTTCTAACTAACAAGGTCGCGGATTCGAAACTGAGGTGGGACACAAATTTCTGATCAGCACTTGGGTTTGGTTATGAGTAGCTGATGACGGCTGATAAGCCAGAAGAGGCCCTCCTAGTCTCCCTAGTCTTTGTCGGTATTGTCCTTTTGTCTATATATATATTTATCTGGAGTGGAACCGGGAGAGACAAGGGAGACCGGAATGGCCATTTTTGGCTTGTTAGCCGTAACTAGCCAGTCATACCCAATCTCAAGGGTCGGAACCCCCGAGACTCGAAATCACGACCTCCGGTCATTGAGTTTAACACACTACCATTGCACCAAGGGCTCGGTGCTTTGTCGGTTGTGATCGGGAATATGATGGAAGTAGGGTGTTCCTCGATCTGTCTGATTAGAGAATATGCTTGTCCCGTTGTGCCTTGAGGCTCGTACTTGAGTGATGGCAGGCAGTCGCTTAGCAATTTCAGACATGTAGTGGAGTGAATTGCTAATACAAGCGAACATGCGAGTCCCAGGAAGTAATTGAA